AATGTTTCTCTTCTAATTTAAGTGCATTTCTGAACATACCTCAAAGCCACACCATGCTGGGTTGAAATGAGGAATGTGATTGGATTTGATTTTAATGGAACATAACATTGATGGAATTGAGATTGACCTCATTATGATTCTCAATTCCATACTAGATCTTTGCTTTAGGCATTAAAGAGCATATGGTAATAACTTTTTTTTAAGCTTTGCTGTTAAAGATTTAGTGGAAAGATTATCTGGAATACTTTTTTTTTTTATCAAATATCTTATTTAAATAAGAGGAATTCTTTAAAGCATTAGCATTAAAAATTCACAAAATGCAGGAAATTAAAGATAGAAAAATCTATTAGGTTATCTTTTCTCTCCCAGAAAAAGATTGCTTCAGAGGAAAGGAGTTAAGAAAAGAAAGTGAAAATGAAACAATTTTAATATCAACATTATAAATGAGAGAGGAAAGGAGGATGTATTCGATTGGTTAGAGAAATCAACTGAAATAATTATTTTATCTTTAAGGAGTCTTTATACTCCATTTTTATGTAAGTTTGCATGTCTGAAACATTTACAATTAAATCATCAGTTCTTTTTGTTTTTAAACATAAGTGATTTTGAGGTGTTTTTGTTACAAAGAAACAGCTGAAATTAAAGTTTGATTGAACATCCTTTATGCAAATCATCTGCTGGTTGTACCTTGTCAATATGCTCTGCCTTTTTTGTTTTTGGATTCCCAACTTAGAGTTCTGTTTAGGCACCCATATATGGTATTTTTATTTTGTTATATGATATAATATACTAACAACTTGAAGTGACTTGAAGTCTTAAGTCTGTACTAGTAAGAAATTATTAGCAAACTTATAAATGGAATTCTGTGTCTGCTTTTACTTTCAAGAACTAACGAGCTTTCATCTTACTGGCAAAAGACAGATTCACAAAGGAGTTTATTAACAGGAGCATCACGCAAACATGCAGAGCTCAGTGATGAGTAATCTGAAGGGGCTGTTAGAACTTGGGCTTAAGTAGTATATTGGGAAAAGTAGAGTAAATCTGTAGAGACGTGACAACACAAAGGAAAAGGTCTTTGAGTTTCTAGGGGTGGCAAAGTGTGGGAAGGCAAACATATGGGAATCTAATGTAGGTAAAGGCCAGGTAGCAGGGTTTGTTGGTGTAGACTCTTTCTTGGTGCCATTTTGTCGCTGACAATAAGGTTGTTATACCCTTCCCAATACAGAAAGATCAGGGCAGGGGGTGGGAGGGGTGGCGCACCTTCACAAGAGGAATTTATGTATTTCTGTTCTGCTCTCAGGCAGATGTAGAGGGGACAGAGTGTCATGGTGGCTGGAAGAGGCTTCCTCTTGTGTTTGCTTTTTCTAAATTGCCTTCAGCTCAAAACAGTCCTAATGCCAGAGTAGTCAATTGTGAGATGGCATACTCTGAACCCCTTCATGGGCTAAGGAACAAACTTTAAATTAGTCTACTTAGAGCATCACTGAAGCTTTCAGTTTTAATGATTGCTCTTGGATGACTTGGTACCTTTTAGGACAATGTTCAGACTTTTGGATATTCTCCATCTGACCCTGCTCCTCTCCAGCTGGGCATGTGTGACTTTTTTTCTTGTGGTAGCAGTATAGCTTATTAGCAACAGTGTGGCTGGTCTGGTCCGCTTCTGGCACTGACCTCTGTGAGGTGGACTGGTCCCATCTAGACATTTGGGTGGAATGCTGGCACCCACAGTTGCAATCTGTAGCCCAGCAAAGTGTTCATCCTTCTCGATTTTCTGTGTTTTGTAGCCTTTTCTTACTCCTTGTTTACTTTTAAGATTGATCCTACAGATTTGGGTAGAATTGATGCTAAGGGTCAAGAGCCTTAGCTCTGTCCTGAAGAGAAACGATGAGGAAGCTGGATAAAATAGTTGGCTCTGATTTTCTTAAATAATATTAATTTTTATGACTGAAAGGCATTAGACTTAGTGTCCCAGTGAACTTACAAGCCCTAGTCAACTATAATCAAGTGAGCAACGAAGTCCTATAGGTTTCACCCCCTCCCCTCGTGTCCCCACACTCACCTTCCTCATTCCCTGTGGTCTGCCAACCAAAATGGCCTCCCTTCTACTCCACCTTATCAAATGATTTTCTGAAACTGGTCTTTTGCACCTTCTGGTCTCTCACCCTAGAAGGGTCTTTGCTTAGATGGTTCCTATTCATCCTTCACTATCTCAGCATAAACATGACCTCCTCAGTGGTCTGTATTCTGTATTCATTGTTGTATCTCTAGTGTATAGAATACTGCCTAACATGTATCATAATACATTTTAATTGAATGAAAGTTGAATGAAAAAGTATTATTTAGTCTTCAAAATAATTTGTTGAAGTGTACATTGTTATCCCCCTTTCACAATGAGAAAACCTACTTGTCTAAATTTACCATACCAACATGATTCAGAAATGGAATTCTAATTCAGGTTTATATGAATGCAAAGCCCATCTTTGGACACTAAGCCATACTGTCAGCTTCTGTAGTACAAATCTGTCACTTGTTTCTTCTAACTTCGTCCATATACTAACAGACTAATGTATTATTTTTCTTTATGTGCTACTAGTATAAGCGTATTATGCATATAATTTGATAATTCGAAGTAGATTCCCCTCCCTACATCTTACATGATAGCAGAACCACATCTGCATATTTACTTTTCTGAAAGCCTCATAAAAGGGATTCATTGTATTCTATGCTGACAGTAAAGCTGAAAATGTCATATCCACTCAGGTAAGGAAATAATTATCATAAATAATTGAAAGAGATGGAAACACTTTTAGGCAGTGACAACTTTCTACAGCTCTCAAAAATGCGAAGTTACTTGTGATATTTGGCTTTTTTGCTCAATTCCAATTGGAAAATGATATTATGGTGTAACGTACCACTTTATTGAATGAAAAGTTCAGGTAGAAGAATGTAGGGAATGTATCCTAAGGAATAGCCAACAACTTGGTTGATAAATTAACATGAGTTTGTACAATATTTGCACAGAGTTCCAGGTTCTCCTCATGTCCATGATTGTCCACATTGCTCTCCCTGTTGAGATCCCTGACACATTTGCACAACAGATGATAGCTAAGTTCACCAAGAAGATTTAATCACTTGCCTTATAATAAGGGATATTTTTGTGCCTCTATATTATATAGTTACTTTGGCATGCTTCTAGCTGAATACCTCTTCTCTTAATTTATGGGTGAGAGAAGGAGAAATGTAAGTTTCTTTTCCATCAAATTTCCAACCTATACATGCTTTGCTTCCACAATTTGTTTTATGGCAGATAGAAAGCTGGAGCAGTTGCTGTGTTGCACGTTTCTTTAGATCGATTCATAAAGGACAGAATAGAGTACATTTGAAGGAGTAGGAATTAGAAAATGAATCCAAATCAGCAAAACAAAAGCCTGAAGCAAATTCATCATGACAAAACCTATATAAAATCTGAAGAACAAATTGCTGCCCCTTGACCTTTCAATAAACAATTCATTTTACATTTTACTAGGATAGAAGATTTAAATGGAAACCAATTCTAGATGTAAAACAAAGTCAAATGTAAGAGATTGATTTTGAGAGAAATTAATAGTAATAATTGAATAGCTCGTCATATATATTACAGTAGAAAGAGAACGTTTACTAATTATTATAATATCACAAAAGTGAAGACTTTTATTTTTCCTAAAAAAAACTTTGCTGTTTCTTATTTAAATGAATATGATTGTACTAATAGGAAATCTATGTTTGGTAAGATCATAACAGTTTGACTTAAATCTTGACACAGAAACTTTGACAGTTTTTTAATGCAAAAGTGTTATGCTAATGAAGAAGAGAAATTCTATCTATTAAAAACAAACTAATTCTTGATTTTTCTATCATCTATTTCAGTTAGAATGTTTTTCATTAGTAGAGCTAGCTTAACTTACCATGGTAACCATCTATGTTGGTTGCATGGTGAAGAACATTAGATTTGATTATTTGTTTGCTTTACACCTTTTAATGAAAAACCAACTGCTAAATTATTAGTGGCCTGCTCTAGGACTCAGAAACTTGTCCTGTGACTTCTTGTTTCTTCTTCTCAAAACTCGTAACAGGTTGTTATAATTGGAGATTCTCTTTTGAGTAAAAATCATAGATGTTACTATACATAGAACAAAAATGGCCCATGATAGTCACATGCACAAGAAAATAGGAAACATTACAAGGTTGAATTTGCCAAAATGTGTATTTATGTGGTAGAGCTAATATCATTAATGTCAGAAAACATCTTTGATATTTCTAAAGATGTAGGCAGAAAACTGAAGATTTCAGGAGCATGGTTTGAAGGTCTTATTGCATGTTTCAAAATATGGCTGGGACGAGAGAGGATGGATTGGGAAAGAAATAGCTGATTTTGAATTTCTGAGCCTTGGCTTAAGATACTGTAGTCTCTGGATAGCAATCAAAAGAATGGGGAGACAGATTCTTCTCTCACAATAAATCTGTAATAGTTTTTCTAAAACCAGAATGGGGCTGCATCAGAAGGTAGAATTTTTTTATTTAAGGGAATGTTGAAACCAATGAATAACTTGATGAGAAAACTGTAAAGAGGGTTCAAGCATAAGTGATAGGATTAGATGTTTTTTAAATTTCCTTACAATCTTAGCTTTTATGATTTTACTTATTTTTTTCTGTACTTTAGATTTTTTGTTACAAGGGCATAATTTTATAAAATACCAGACCAGCTATTTTAGGTTACAGGCTATAAATATAAATTTCTCTCTTTGAAAAGAATAAAGTTTTATCTCCCATATTCTAATCCAATAGGCAGAATTTAAAATTTACAGACTTGAAATTTTTATTTAAGTCATCATCTCAAACTTAAGAATTTTTAGAAAGTATTATTTCATGTGACCTCACATGGGGGAATTGTGATATTGTGGCTTTGCTCTATTAGCCAGCTCCTAGGGGTAAAAGTAAAGAACAGAATCTGGAATCATAGGATGGGTATCAGAAGAGAATTGGATCTACCAGAAGAAAGAACGACTGACAAGGAAGATGAATTTTCAGATGCTAGTAAAACCATATTCAAAAAAGTGAGGTAAATTGTTAGTTTAGTTTTCTTACTCTCATGAGGCCAATTCATTATATATTTAACCATATGGGACTACTGTGCCTTTGAATTTATAATGAAAATTAATAGAGGATGAGAATTATAACCAAGGTTTCTGAGATATGCAGGGTGGGGCAAAAGTATGTTTACAGTTGTTCATATGGGAAATAATATTTTAAGAATAAACTCTGTTTCACATACTCACAATTGTAAACCTACTTTTGCCCCACCTATTCTATAAAATTAAAGGATTCTTGTTATATCTTCTAATGTTCATTTGTTAATCATTTGAAAGAAAATCAAGCTGTCACATGGAACATATTGTTGCTTGAAAATATCTCCTTATGATGGCTAAAATTAAAGCCTTGATTTTGTAGGTAAGGTTTTGTCATGACATTTTCAATTGCTATCAGAAATTTATTACTACTGCCATGTGCACTTTCATCTATGTGTACCCTTTCCTCTTCAGCTTCAGGTATATCTCTATTTTAATTAATTGGCTAGGTCATATGACATCTAAGACTCTTTCTAACCTGATATTCTATTATTCTATGTATTCTATATCATGTTCCTTTTCTTGAGGATCTGCATTATTTTTTTTCTTTAATAGAAGTTACTTTTTTGCTATGTTAATAGTTAACTCAGTGCTTTAGAAAATAGTCATCAAAAGGGTGAGATCTAATGTAAAATCCCAAAATGTAGCCAGTGTTTGCAAAGTTTCACCAGCCACCATAGAAATGCACCTTATCAATTAGTTTTGCAGTCATACACATGAAGTGAATGTGTCAAGATGCCATATAAGCATCAAGTCCTAACCACCCTTTTGAGTTACTCAACACTGAGTTCTCCAATGTCTGCATGTGATGTATGCATTAATACATTCTGTTTTTCTCTAGTTAAACTATCTTTTTTCAGTTTATTTCACAGGCTGAGCTACTGAACCTAAGAGGGTAGAGAAATTTTGTTTACTCCCCTACATAGAAATACAACTTATCTGGTGGATGAGGAAGATATTGGTGAAAGAATACCATATTTTGCCAGATATAATGCACATTTTTTTGCCCAAATTTTGGAGGGAAAAATAAGGGTGCATATTATACATGGGTAGTACTAATTCTGTATCTGTGTAAATGTTTTTAAGTCTTTTACTTATGCTTATGTGTTAAAAGTGTAACTCTAGAAAGCAATAATGATATCTATATGCAAAATAATACCCTGGAATATGATCATTGGTTCTGTTTCTAAATATAAATGAATAAAAAATTGAATTAAAAACTAAAACAAAAGATATTTTTCCTGAAAGTTTGGGCCAAAAATGTGGGTGTGCACTATACATGGGAGCACATTATACACGGCAAAATACAGTAGTCACTGGTTCGAGTGTTCAGTATGCTGTGAATGTCAGTCATTGTGTTTAAAGGGAGAAATGGTTCGTGAGGCTTAGTACAAGTAATATAAATGGAGGTCAGTTAAGAGAGCTTCTAGTGTTTAATATCCTTGATTATAAGCTTCTTGAATGAAGTTACTATGTTTTATGCATTTTTATATTTGCTGTTTACCTAGCACAGTGCCTGGTATTAATAGATATAAGCATTTGTTTCTTCATTTGAATTAATACATTTTGACAACACATAATCATCCCAATAGGAAACTGTTCCCTCTAAAGTTATAAGTGGTGGTTGTATTTTCCTTTGTTTTCTCCTATGTTCTCTGAGCAATAATGCAATATTAACATCCTGTTTGTGTTTCATTTTGATTGCCACTTGGTCAGCTTGAGCCTGAGAAAATTTATGCACAGTGTTCAAGAGGACCAATTTACCCTGAAAGCTTTGGAATTATCTTAGAGCCATCTTGAAGCCACTGCAAATTGCCATTGCAGTCATAGAAATGCTAGAAATCAAATGAATGGTGTGACATTTAGTATGCAATGTCAAAACATGTTTGGATTACTTCTTTGAACACAAGCACTGAAAAGAGCTGCCATTAGTGGATTATAGGATTTTCACTAGATATTTGCTTTCAACAAAAATGCATCTGTATTTTATGAAAGTTGTGCATGTTCATAGTTTTAAAAGTCAAAGAATTATACAAGGCTGATTATTTTTAAAAAAAGCAAAAACTCTCTACTGACCCGCCATTTCTATTCCTCAGTTTCTGTTCCCTAGACAGGACCTAATTTCTACTCTTTCACAGCTGTTTCTTCTCATTTGTATTTCTATATTTCCAAATACCATGATCATATTACTGTTTTCTGACATTTCTATTCTAGTTATGGTCTGTCTTCCTAGTATGGAAAATGAGGATTTAGCTCTCTCACTCCTATCTCCACCCCTCCTTATATACATTTTTTCTCTCCTCTATCCTCTGAAAACTTCTCAGGTTTTTAAATTTTGTAAATCAAAATTCAGTGTTTAAGTATCTAAAGATAGGTAGATATAGATCATAGATAATTCACTTAGCATCCTATGATTACATTTTTTCTTTTCTGACTTTTTTATGGAACAAGTAAATGATTTATTTTTCCCATTTGCTTAGTTTCCTCTGTAAGGTAATTCAGTGCACACTTTCTGAGAGAACTTAATAGCCTCTTTTCAATAAGACCGAACCCATGAAGGGATATAAATAACAGTTCTTATTTTGTCTTGCACACAGCTCTCTTTGGACCCTTCAGCCACTGCTCCAGTGGGGATGGGTTCCTCTTCATCATTGCTTCAGGAATTGCCTCTACTTTTCCCTTGTACTTAGTTCCCTGTTTTCTGAATCCTATGTTTAACTATTTCTAACGGAGTACATCTTTCAGTAGCTTCTTGAGATAGACTGACTGAGAAGTAAATTCCTTGAAATCTTCACTCTCAGAAAGTCTTCCTTACACCCCCACGTGTGATTGATCATGTGGCTGGTTATAGAATTCTAGGTTGAGAGCAATTGCCCCTGAGAATTTTGAAGGCAGTTCCCCATTCTATTCTTGTCTAGTGTTCAGTTTGTGATGTCTGATACCCTTTAGATTCACAATCTATTGTATCTGACTGATTCTTTTTCAAAGCTTTTCCAATTTGTTTTTTCTACCTGGTGTTGTGACTTAATGTGGTCTTCTTTCGTTCATCTGTGTTCTGCCTTTGACTGGTTCTTTTGATCCAGAAATGCATGCCTTCAGCACTGGAAAACTGTATGCTATATTCTTGGATCATTTCTGATCCTGTTTTCTCTCTTTTCTTTCTGGGACCACCATTAATTAGATACTGAGCTCCTAGATTGATTCCCTCCTATACATAAGGTTTGGTCTCCCATTTTCCATTCATTTGTGTTATTTTAACATAATCTTTATATTGTTTTTTTAGACAAGCTTTATATTTTTTTCTTAGACAATCATCATTTTAATTTCTAAGAGTTTTTTCCTGTTTTTTAAATGCTTCCATTTACATTTTTCTAATAAAATTAGGTGCAATGTCTGTAATTTTTTTTCTTTTATGTCTGAGGACACACACATATGCACACATACACACTTATTTAGTTTCTTCTTGCATTGTCTGTTTCTCCAGAACTTTTTGTTGTTTTGGGGGCCTTACCTCAGCACCAAACAGTACAGGAAATGTAGATGGTAGTATAATAGGTGTATGTGTGTGCATGCAAGAAGCCATCTTTAGGTCAATAGGCAGGGACAAGGACTAGCTTTTTTTGAGGACATCCAAATGTCAGTCAGAATCTCTAGGTCTTTTTTTTTTTTCTTTTTGCTTGGGTCACTTGGTTTCCCCAGAAAAGAATCCTCCACTCTCATTCAATATAGAAAATTATATTTAAGCCCCATTTTCAGTGCACTACTTCACCCCCAGCCCCAGCTTGGGGTCCATAAATCTTTTCAGGAAGTAAACTTCCTGTCATCTGTGAGGGCGAGGAAGGGACAATTACTTAGCTGTTTGAGTGGACTGTGGAATCTGAGGGTTGGAATTCCCTTACATATGTTTAAAATCAATCCTCTTGCTTTTAGTCCTGTCCTTCACCCTGAACTCCTAGTTTTTTTCCTCCCACTAGTAGGGAAAATTTCTCAATAATTGCTTTATACAAAACATACTAAATGCACTGTATATTAGCTGCTATTTATTTATCAGTTCTGACTTTTGGTTAATAGTGTTTTGAGTTTAAATATTAACTTTCCCAAATTTCACACACTTAGAACAATGAGAACAACATATCATTTATTTTTATAACCTGAAGATTAAGCAGTCTGTGAGCGACCATGAAATGAAAACAGTTAACTTCCACACTATTGCTTTTGAATGCTGTAATTTAGATTATGTTCTTAAATTTATCTTGCCTGTTCTATAACAGGTATTAAAACACATCTGATTCTCTATCATTCTCACAAGTATTTGCAGTTAATGCTTTGTTTTCTTATCTGATTTACCTTATGAAAATTCCCTTTAGCAGAGATTAGAAGTAGTTTATTATTTATTTTCTGAGTCAATGAGATTTTATACATGTAAATATTATAATCTAGTTATATTATCAGAATATTTTTCCATTCATGCTTGAGTTGTTCTCTCTACTAACATAATTTTCAATTGAAATGTATTATTTCTTTTGCAGATAAAATATATTAAGGATCTCTTCTTTTTAAGTAATGTATGAATTATAAATCTGTGCTTATAAGTTTATGATGCCTTCAAGTGGCAACATTGTCAGAGGAAAAATTATGTCTAGAGGTTTTTTTAATGGTGCTAATAAAGTGAAACTGTATTAGGTAAGAATACATTAAAAATGATAGTTAAGGTTAAATAGGAAGCCATTGAATTGAGTTTGTATTAAAATTGAAACAGAAAGCAATATTTACCCAGCATTTCCTGAAGAAACCATGTCAGATGCAGTATTTATTGAACTTGGCATACAGATGATGACAATTGTAGTATTAAGTAGAATAAATTGCTGGAAAAATGAATAGCTCCACCTCAATGACCAATTTTGCAATGTTTTTAACCAGTCCTATTTTGGCT